CAAAAAGTCCAACTTGTATTAATTAGTTTATGAATTTTTCCTAGGATTCTAGGAGATGATAGGTGCATTTTCAAAACTAAGAAATTAACTTGAAAATCAATTGATGATGGAAGTGAAAGTCATTAGAAGATTAATTGATCAAGTTATTTTTTCTTTCTAACAATTATATATGGTGTCTCCAAACTAACTTATATGTGTTTTTCTTTTCTTTTTTACTTTTTGTGTTTCACTATTTATAAATTAAGGTAGTACTTCTACATAAAGTATGTATTATAAGTAAAATAGAAATATGTTACTTTGTATAACCAGTAGTGAGTAAATCATTTTTCAATAGAAATACAAAATGAAGGGTGAAGAACTGAAAATCAAGAGGCATGCATGCATTTTATTGAAGGTAATAATTGGTACACCTTTTAATTTAGTATATCTGTCAATATTTATTGATTTAATTATTAAATTTTATAAGTAAAAATTTTCAATTCAAATTTTAAAAAATAATTTTTTAAAAACATATTATAAAATGTGTTAAATTAAAAATATATCAATTATTGTCTTTTTATTAAATATTATAATAATATTAAACCATATAACACTGACCTTATTTACGGATAAGCCTCTAAAGATAGAGGCAGTTTCCTAACAAAGAGTCTCTTTCTACAGAGAGCTCAGACTGGAAAGTGCAAAAAGAGATATTTTACATATAAAAGAGTAATGATAGGGGGAACGATTTTAGGGACGAAATCGAAGGATGACAAGTAAAGCAATCTCAACAATAATTATCAATTTGACCTTGTTTCATTTGTTGTTCTCCGATTTCGTCTCCAAAATGATCCCCCTATCATTATTCCATATAAAGCTTTCGAGACCCTTTTAAGCAGTACGGTTGCCGAGGAATCTACTGGCGATTTCCCCATTCGCACCTTGGGGATAGAACCCACCAGGTGTATACTCGCTGCCGCTTCCGTACACCGTCCTTAGAATCTCCTGTGGATTTCGTGCGTATGATATCGAATAAGCATTTGCCGATAAAATATTGCTATCCGTTAGGTTCTCCGCCCCCAAGAATAGTGGGACAATAAGACCTTCATCTTTGATACCGCACATCGCCAGCTGGTTTCTGAGCATTGAGATCTTGTTCGTTAACTCCGCCACCGTTATATCGTATGGTGGAACCTTCTCCCCAGCTCTTTCATACAACAATGTTCGTATAACTGCATCTTGTCCAGATTCCACCCCCAGAAGCCCCGAAACCAACTGTTGAAAGGAGATAATATATGTTTGTATATAAGATAACTTGCACGCAACGTTGAGATTAATTTTGATATAATATATGTTTAACTAAGAGACTAAGGCTAAATACGACAAATACTTACACGACGACTGGAGTAGTATTGAAGCGAAGGAATTGTGCCTACATAACCTACGAGTCCTTCGTAAGGGATAACGTAGCATCCTAAGAGGAAGTTCAAACTATTGGCATAAGGGTCGAAGGGAGGGTTCAGGGTGTACCCTACTGCTTTGTTGAATATTGTGGCGAAAACTTCAGGGCTGAGATCCAACAGAGGCCTTTGAATTCCACCTACTGCATCCACAATTGCCCTGAGATGTCCAATTTCTTGATAACCGAATTCCTGGATGATTCGGAAAGTGAGAGGGTCAAGATTGGCTTTCTGTGCACCAATTGGCTCGGGACCATCCTTGGCCAATTGCGGATCAAAACTGTCAAGGCCTTTACCCATTGAGCCACGCAAGAAGAATTCTGCTTCTAGGAATTCCAGGTTCTGAGCAAACTCAATCCGATCCTTATCGCTGGCCGGTATTGGTCCACAGTAGGAGGGGCTGCCAGTAATCCGAGCGGATTGTAGTGAGAGAAGTAGTAGAAGAAGAAGGCCAAAGGGAAAGGAGGAGGAAGCCATGATACAGCTGAAGCTAGTAATCAGTTGGTAACGTTTTGCATGCATGAGAGTGCCCCATTTTGACCTTTATATAGGAAAACTTGAGAGAGCTCGGACGCCTTGAGAACTCTTTCTTGTAGTAACCGAGAAGAAAACAGTTCTTCGTCGTTATCCCTAGCTTGGGCAAAAAAGAGGTACGTGTTCAAATATAAACCAAGTAGCTAATTAGTCAATGTAATAAGTTTTTTTTTTTTTTTTTCAGAACAATTAGATTAGGATTTCGTCACATCAGCTCACGTACATTAATTGAGACGAAACACATTCCCTACTAACTCATTCTCGATTAAGTTTCTTGGTGGATGTCCCTTTAGCTCAAATAGGACGTTTCATCAATTAAGGGTTGAAAGGTAAATGGAAGAGACTTGAAAGAGAAGCTTGATGCCATCACCAATTAAGCAAAGAGGTCGGGTGAGGAAGGGAAGGGGAATTAAGTCCAAGTTTGATCACGTGGAGTAGGGTCGAGTCTCAAAGGTTCTTGTAGATAACTCAGATATACCTCGGTAATTTAGTGGATAATTTGGCGCTATAGTGAGTTGGGGACTATTGTGGCGCCTTCCTTTACCTCCAGTAACTTTGTAGATACAATTACTCAAAATTTATGAATGCTCAAATAGGATAACTTCTTTTAGTCTGTTAGTATCTTTATGACATTGACTAGTATAGGAGGTTCTTAATATTTAATGATTCATTCACAAAAGGTATGCCAGTGTTATAGATAGTTGCATTTTAGCCTATAAAGCATTAATTATAGACAAAATTGATGTACTCTATTACCTAGTTATCAATAATATTTATAATTTTCATTTTAAAAAAATTCATTAGCTAGGTGTACGTGCACACTAACATCATGTGTGCACAATGTAATAAGGTTTTGCAACTCATAACATCTATTTAGCCTCACCCATGGAGAAAATTAATGAAGAAACTACTTGTAGACAAAAGAAAATTAATGAATAAATTACTTGTAGATAAAGAAATTAATTAATGAATAACTTACTTGTAAGTAAAGAAATTTATTTATTTTTTTAACAAGATTACATTTTTAGGAGAAGGGGAATGAAGAGGATTCAATCTTAAGTTTGATGAGAACTCTTCTGAGGAAAGCTACCACTGCTCTACCTAGGAATTCTCAAAGAAATTTAATTAATACTCCTACATTGGTTTTTTAAATTTATATACGTCAAGTTACTTCTATAACAATTCTATATTCAATCAATTAATTAACATCCTGTACGTCACTACCTTTTGAATTTTGTTACCCAAATTAGACAATTTAATTGATCATAATCAATCAATATTCCTAAAAAAGGATTTATCATATTTTTAATAAGCCAACATACAATGAACCTCAGTATGAAGTAATACAAAGGAAATGGTTTTTATATCTAAATGTTGGTACGTAGTGTAAGTTTAATTTGTCAGTTTGCTATAATTTAGAGTAATGAAATTCAATTTTTGTCAGTTGGCACAAGTTATTGCCTTTTTTTTGGGGGGGGGGGGTAAATACAAGGTATTGTCCTGCACAATTAATAGAAACATATATCAAATAAAACATAATTATATAATTAGCCTAGTTAGAGCCAACAACTTCAATGGGAGATCTGTGTTTGACAAGAGTTAGCAACACATTGTAACACTTATAAGATTTTAGTTGAGTTGGTACTTACTCATCCTAAAGTTATGTCATGTAGCAAGTCTTAAGATGATCAATTTTATGAGCTAAACATTTTTGTAGCGTATAGGTCAAAATACCCTAACTGTTTCCCTCAATTAGAGGCTGTTTGGTACAA